CCCCAGCTCCCTCAGCCTCTCCTCCCAGCACTTGTGCTCCAGTCCCTTCCCCAGCCTTGTTGCCCTTCTCTGGACCTGCTCTCGCAGTTTTGTCTCTTGGGCTGTTTTGTCTCTTGGGCTGTTTTGTTGGTCCTTGCTGGGGTAACGATGGCTCCTCTGGTGCAGATACTACAACAAGCTGGTGAGGAGCCTGCTGGAGTGCGACGAGGAGACGGTGAGCACCATCAAGGACAGCCTGATGGAGAAGATCGGGCCCAACATGGCCAGCCTCTTCCACCTGCTGCAGGCCGACCACTGCGCCCAGGGCCACCCCCGCGCCGACTTCTCCAGGAGGAGGCTCTCGGAGCCCCAGAAGCTCAAACTCTACTTCAGGAACCTGCGAGGTGAGGGCTCGGCCCCGGCCCACGGCAAGCGCGGCTCCTCCTCGGCCGAGAGCGCGTGACGGGACGGCCGCCCCGCGGGCCCCGAGGGGATGCCAAGCACTGCTACCAAAGCTCCAGAGCAAATGCACCCGGCCCAAGCGTGCTGTAGCCAGTCTGAACAGCACCTGGGGAACCTGGGGTTAGGTTTAGTCGTTGATATTTTCTGTCCCCCAGCCCCCCTTTCCGAACAAAACGTCTCCGCGTGGGTCGGCGTTCGGCGTCTCGGCTTTTCCCGCCAGCAAAACGTCTCCGTCTCTTTTTCTTCCCCCCCCCCCTCCAAAAAAAAAATTATGTCCTAAAAGGTCTTAGTCTTAAGTGGTCAGGCCTTCAGACACCAAATCTAAACGTACTGTAGTGCTGATGCCACTGGAGTCTGAGGATCTGCCCCCCAGGAGAGGAGCTCGTCCCTCCTGCCCGAGCTTAGGGGACAAGAGATGCACTAAAAACTTGTTGCACACCCCAAAAGGTGTCAGGGGAGTTCGTGTGATGAATCTGTGCTGGCCATGGACGAGTATGAATGTCATGTTCCTGGTCTCTTAGTGTCCTGCAGTCCTGATCCTGCCACCAGAGCTCTGGTAACCCCTGGATTTCCCAAACCGGCTGGGGGTGAGTTTGGTCACCGTGACCTGGCACCGCGGTGCAAAACGAGCTCAAGCCACCCCCCCACGCCCCCCAAAATCAGGAAAGGGACGTTTTGTACCCCAGACACGACTCAAAGAGCTGCCAGTCTGAGGCTGAAAGCTGGTCAGGAGGTTCCATAATCTTGCATTGTATTTAAAAGCTAACATCTATGTACTGTATTTAACTGTCTAAAGCTTTAAAAGAAACCTAACAGAAACAAACCCTGTCTTAAGAGTAGAGTATTAAAGGTCTTGCTCTAACTGTGGTATAAATAGTTTTAAAATCTGTCATGTACTGTACATAAATTCCACAAGAGTCTGCTTGAAAGGAGCAGAATATAATAACTTTATTGCCTAAACTTAGTTTTGTAATTTAGCTCTTTCTTTTTTTATTTTATTAATTTTTTTTCTTTTTTCCTGGAAACAGTATCTCTGTCGTATTTGAAGAGTTCACATTCTACTCCGTGGCCTTTTTTAATGGAAGAGGGGGAAAAAAATGGTTTAGGATGGGAATTGCAGGCCCAGAAATGGCTAAAATGGAGGGGAAAAAAAACCAAATTAAAACCAAGAGGAGTTCAGCCTGGCCAGTCCTGTCCCCCCAGAGCTGCTGTGAGACCCCCTCAGACCCCAGTGCTGCTGGGGGGGGCTCCTGTAGGAATTATCAGAGGCTTTGGGAATTCCCTGGGAACACCCATTGCTGGGAAAGGCAGGAAAAATCCCGAAATCCTCTGAAGCTTCAGCAGTGAAGGACACAGGGATCCACGCTCTGGGAGCTGCCTTTCCTCCCACCCTCCTCCTCCTCAGCAGGCTCTGGGAAGAGGAGCAGAGGGTCCCGTCCTGGGGGTCCCCCAAACCTGCTCCCAGATCGCTCTGGGGGAGCCAAAAAAAAAGCAGGATCAGCCAGGCCAGCTCCAAATCCATCCCCTCAGAGTCCCTCTGCAGAGTGGATGGCTCTTCCTCAGCTACTTAGCCAGCTAATAAAGGAGGGATCTATTTTCCTTTTCGAAACCTAAAGCAATATAACTTTTTTCTTTTTTTCGTTTTGTTTTGGTTTCCTTTTTTTTTTTTTTAAATAAATAAAAAAAAAAGACAAAAAAAAAAACCAAACAAACCACGAAGCCTTTAAACAATAACTTGCTGCTAATATATGGAAACCAGATGCAGTGGCAGCGTTTCTGATGTCCCTGCCTTCGTTCAGTGTAGCCCCAAAGTGCTGTCAGAAAATTGGAAGCAGCAAAAAAAAAAAAAAAAAAAAAAAAAAAAAAAAAAAGAAAAAAAGGTTGCTGACGGTCAAGGGTTGTTATTTTAATTTTTTTTATTTTGAAGACTCTGAATTGTAGGGCAAGGAAGATGNTTTTTTTTATTTTGAAGACTCTGAATTGTAGGGCAAGGAAGATGCAATATTGTTCCTTTTTCAGTCAGTCAGGGATAGAGAGGCCGACGAGAAGAAGTTTTGCAAGGTGAAAAAACCAAAGGCTCCTCCAATATCCCGCCCCTAAAAGTCGGGGGTTGAGCAGGAACTTTGATCCCAGGGTTGTGGGATTCCCACCCCAGGGCATCCCAGCTGGGAGACAGGGAATTCTGCACCAAACCCGTGGAAATAGTTACAAAAGAGGTTCTTTACCTGGCTCGGGGCGGGGTCCAAACAACCCCCTGGTGCTCCAGAGCTTCCCAAAGCCTCTCCCGACCAACCCCGCCCTTCCATGGGGATGTTCCTCATGGAAAAGTGGCTTCTCCATTCCCGGGAAACCCCAGAGAAGGCGGATAAAGCCGATTTGGGGCCGGGGAGGAGCGTGAGATCCCCCCCAAGCTGATCTTTTTTTGGGGTGGTCCCACCAAAATTCCTCTTTCCCGGCAGCGCTTGAAACTCTTATTGCCCTTAATAAAGGTGGGAATTCAGCGGGAAAATCCTCCCCCTCCCGACTGGGAAACCCCCCCTGTGCCCCCCAAGCTCTGCTGGGTCCCAGGGGCCGGGTTTGGGGGTCGATTTGAGGCGGCACTTTTGTCCCCCCGAGCGGGCCTGGGGGTCACCTCGCCCGAACCCAGCTGGGCTCAAAGTCCCCCCTACCCAGGGCAGGTGGGAGAGGAGCCTCCCATGCCCTGGGAAAGTTTGGGATGAGGCGGGAGAGACCCCCCCGGGATGGATTCTCCACCCCAAGTCCGGCGATTTCACTGTTTAATCTTTATTTTTTTTTAATTTCGGTTTCACGGCCAAAGTGATTTTGGGTTGGGGGGGAGGGGGGCAGGGAGGGGCTTCTCTAGAAACGTTTTGCATGAGTCTCCTCGTGATTTGTTTGCACTTTAGAGCGTTTTGTGCCATTCATAAATTTGCATTTTATTGTATTTATAATTTAA